CCATTTTTTTTTATATGAAAATATTGAAGTTTTCAGGACTGACTTTCCCTGTAGGAGGACAAACATCTCCTTTAAGCCCTCTCCATTTCTTCACAATTTCTTTTGGAAATTAGAAAGATTTTCTCATTTTCCATTTTTTCAGAGCTTCTCTCTCCCCCTAAAACCTCCTTCTCTAACTGCAAGTTAAGCAGATTTCTGAGGCACCACTTGGAAACAGACAACCTGACTGCAGTGCTCAGTGTCAGGATGAAATTCAGAGGTATTTTCCTGTTAGGAAAACAGCATCAGCCTCTCCTGAGTGAGGAAACTGCGATGGAGGTGCTTGGGGAAGAATTTATGGCATTTTTTTGTTAACTAAGCTCTTCCCTGTGAGCATTGCACTGAGCTGCTCTGACATCCCCCCACATGCCGCTCAAGCCTGAAGGGATTTGGGAAGGGGGTGGACAGGCACTGCTATCCCACTGCCAGTGGCACAGAGGTGGATGGGTTTTACTCTCACAGACCTCGAGATCAGAATGCAGAGCCCCAGGTCGGGGTGCAGGCCCTGGTTTGGGGAGCAGAGCCCTGGTTTAGGGTACAAAGACCCCAAGTGGGGTGCAGAGCCCCTGTTTGGGGTGTAGAGTCCAGTCTGGGGGTGCAAAGCCTCATACCAGGGTACAGAGCCCCCTTCATCCATCCCAGCATCCCAATCTTCAGGGCCAGGGCAGCTTCATTTTCCTTGGGAACTGCTGCAGAGCTCAGATCCCCTTTTCCTGCTTGGAGGGATGATTAAAACAGCTCATTGAGGGGAGAGAAACAGCATCGAAGCTGCATGTTCCCCCTGAAAGAGGAGGGTCCCCCAAGCCTTCGAGAGGTTGTCACCTCACTGCTGTTTTGGTACTGTGACAGAAACCCAAGTTGCTGGTCCCAGAGCACCTGAACCAACCTGGATATGACCCTCCCCTGAGCACACTGCAGTCCCTAAGTGTCCCAATCCAGGTTCCAGTGATCTGCCGGCTCATCCTTCCCTCCCTGCCCTGCCCCAGACACCTGTGCCCGCTATGCTGAGGCTGGACTAAACTCAGCTCACTGATGAGGCTGTTCCTGCAGTGATGCCCACCTGTCCGGGGCTCTGCCAGCCCCCTCCATCCCTCTCCTGCCCTCTCCGGCCCTCCATCCACAGGGCTCAGAAGCGGGATGGAGTTTGCACTAGCACAGGTAAGGACACATCCCAAATTTGCCAAAGCACAAGGATTTGGGCTCTGCGCTCACACATTGCCCTCCCCAGCTTCCCGCAGGGCACCA